CTGAGAATGCACTTAAGTAAAGCAAAATTAGATTTGAGGTCAGTGTGTATTCAATCAGTAAGGACAGCTGGTGTAATTTTCTAATTGCCCCCCAGCGATACTATCTCAGGGTCATTTTGTGAAATTGATTTGGTCCATAAATCTAGTAAGCCTCCAAAGGGAGTTTCACTAGGAACTTTTTCAAAAATTAAATAAGCCCTAAAGCTTTTGTGAGAACCACTTTAGTGTCATGATTAAGGCACCAGGCTAGAATCTGGGAGACTTGTGAGTTCTAATGCCAATGTAGGCATAAAGCCAACGGTGACCTTGGGCCAGTCCCTCCCTCTCATCATTGAGAGAACCAACCTAGAACTAAGAAGAAATTTCCTGACAGTTAGACCAATTAACCAGTGGAACAACTTATCTCCAGAAGTTGTGAATTCTCCAACACTGGAAGTTTTAAACAAGAGATTGGACAATCATTTGTCTGAAATGGTATAGGGATTCCTGCCTGAGCAGGGGGTTGGACTAAAAGCCCTCCAAGGTCCTTTCCAACTGTTACTATTATTATTATCCCAACCACAAGTACTAGTCTAGGCAATTGCTAGAAATCAGCACTGACTCAAAAGCAATCCAATTCTACGAACCCTTTCCTATTAGCACCTCACTGCCCACTACTGTTTTAAGGCAGGGGTCCCCAACCCCTGGTCCTTGGACAGGCATCAGTCCAAGAGATGCCAGAAGCTGGTCCACGCAAACAAGTGAAGCCCCATCTATAGGAGGCAGGCAGCATGTGAAACCACACCCCCTCCAGCCCATGGAAAAACCTCTTTCCATGGAACTGGTCTCTGGCACCCAAAAGATTGTGGGGTGCTGCTTTAGGGCATCCTCTTCTAGCTTACTGGCTCCCAAATGACTTGGACTACAACTTCCCTGTGGATGGTTGCAGTCTAGTATATTTGAAGGGCATCAGGATGGATAAGATTCTTTTGGGAATATGTATGATTTTTCCTAGTTCTAACTGGATGGATTTCGTTTGACTGTATGCAAAATCTGTGAATCACTATCCGGTGGTGAAACATCTTGTGAACATCCCACCATCATATGCTCTTTAGGAATCAGCTGCCTGCCTTTTGTATGGCAAAAGAACTCTGCTGTTTATAGAGATTCTCAATCATCCAGGTCATGGTTGTTCCAAAGGTGCTTTTTCCAAAAGGCAACTGGTTGTTGTTGTTTTTTTGGATTTTTTTTCCCTTTGAAAATATTTTGCTTCTCATCCAAGAAACTTCTTCTCTTCAAAGAAAGACGCCTCTTGGATGAGAAACAAAACATTTTCAAAGGGAACCCCACCCCCACCCCAATGTCCAGTTGCCTTTTGGAAAAAGCACCTTTGGGAGAATTGAGTCTGCTGCTTATCCAGCTTAAAGGCAGTCTGCAATTACATTTCATGTGCTTATTAAGGAAAACATAGTGTTGCTTGGAAGGCAATTTGGAAAAGAGTTTTCCCATGCCAGACTCCTCTTCAAAGCTTGGAGAGAGCGTTCTGGAAAAGTGGCTTTAAGTATGTCTTGAAGACCCGATCACCCTGTTGAAAAGGGAAAGGAAGGGAAAGCATTAGACATATGATTTGCTGGCAAAGACAAGACAGAACATAATAGCTTGATATTCTCATTACAGCTTCATAACTAACTCCATGTTTATATTTTCACTGTGTTAAACTAAATGTAGTGTAACCAGGGCTCCTAAGTTCTTAATAGAAAGTAAAAATTTCCCCTGTCCAGTTGTGTCTAAGGAACGGTGCTCATTTCCAATTCACAGTTGAAGAGCCCAGCATTGTCCAAAGATGCTTCTGTGGTTATATGGCCAGCNGCTGGCTGGAGAATTCTGGGAGTTGAAGTCCACAAGTCTTAAAGTTGCCAAGTTTGGGAATCACTGCAATAAGGCACATGTGATGAAATTGAGACCTTGGTAAGATCTGCATCTTTCAGAGGTAAGAATAATTGGTAATGGACTTAATGACTTAAAACACATTTTCTTCTGATGATACAGCTTGCAACTTTGGATGTTAAATAGGCAATACCAAAGATATGGGATGGTGCAAATGTATTGTACTGTGAGTAGACAATATCTAGAAATAGGTCACCATTTTTAGATCTGCTTTAGCGGCTCTCTATTCTCTCTTTTTTCCTTTATCCTCACACTTTTTCTGTGAAGATACATTTTAATTACATTTTTCAGTATAGGAAACTTGTCTTTTGGGGTATAATGAGAATTAAAAAAAATGAGTGTGACACTGCTGTTTCTAACTAAGCATTAAGCTCTCATTGATCTTTCGCTAAATATTGCAGAGGAGTCTTGTTCTGCTGTGGGCGTGGGTCACCATTGGGGGTGATTTATAATAATTCCCCATTGTAAGAGGCAAAGAATGATATATGTGAACTTCTGTTTTTGCTTATGCAGTGTAATAAAAGGCAACCCCATTACATGGTACCAGAAACCGTGGGTTTCCATAATAATGGCCAATTCCCAGCTTGCTATTTATTGGAGAGCAAAATTTTAGCTTTGGAGAAGAAAGTAACACCAGAGCTGGAGCTTGGGAAATTAAAAAGTATTCTGGGGGAAGATAGGAATGAACCATTTTCATAGAGTATTGTTGCCAAGAAAAATATACAGACCATATTATTACCAGGAATTGAGCTCTACTTGAGATGGACTTTAGTCTGGCCCATACAATAGCTGACTTAAACGTGAATGAAAAATAAAAGTTGTAGTTATTTTTCATATCAAAATCTTCTCATCTCTAGTATGTTAGGCAGGATTGAATAAGAATACTAGTTGGTACTAGCATTCTTATTCCTAGAATATTTTTTGGGATAGGAGTTTTGAAAAATCTGAATTGTTTCGAAGACCTTATCTGTGTTTGTTTCTAGAACAGTAACTGTATTAACCTTTTCCAGTAAAAACAGCTAAAAATGTTTTAGACTAAAAGATATTATTATTGCAAAATCTTCTTGTGGACTTTGGACTGAAATCCATAAAAATGTACTTGATAATAAATGCTTTAGTAATTCGGGTGTTGTGATCTGGATTAGAACATTGTTAAAATATATGCTGAAATAATTTGTTTTATTATTAAAAAATCAGGCTGAAAACACATGCATGGTTTATGTTGAAATTTTTCTGTCTTTCCATTTCTCAACCAGTTTTCATATTTCCTGAGAGGCTGTACAAGGTTCAGAATAGTCAGGATGCAGAAGGAATTCTATCATATTTGATTTAATTTGTGTTTCTTTGTAGCTGGCATCCAAGATAGAGACAACTTGCTTTTTATGTTTATTGTAAGTGCTCCTAATGTACAATGCTTTCTCTCCCCCCCCCCCATTCTCCACCAAACAGAGTAAGAGTAAGTGGTGAATTCTACATCTTTTCAAAAACACCAGATAAATCCAGATTTGTGCAGACCGTGCATTGGAACAGATGGATAATGGAGACTGGGGACATATAGTAAGTATTTCTATTGTTCAATAACATACATTTTTCAGAATATAAAAAAATTCTCATACAAAGTAGTGCTGTTATAGTTTTTTTTAATCCTAAAGCCACGTTTAAAATATTAAAGACGTCACAGACCTATAGCAAAAGTTAATTTGCTAAGCTAATTAGAAGAATTCAGAGACCCTGTTTATGCTGATTGGAAAGCCCTTTTTATGCATTGGATGAAGTTAGGTTATTTTGAAATGGTTAATCGGAGAGCACTCAGACTCTGTCAGTTTATGTATAAAAAATTCTTGTTTCTCCCCCTATGAGTGGTCTTCCTCAGTTTTGGATCCTCCAACAGATGCCTCGGAGTTTTGAGGTTTAGCACAGTATCTTTGTTGTTCCTAACTCTGCCATTACCAAACATGTGAGAACCAGTTTGGTCTAGAGGGTTAAGTCACTAGACTAGAAAGCAGGAGACCATAAGTTTTAGTCCCACCATAAAAGCCAGCTGGGTGATTTTCAGCCAGTCACTCTATCTTGGCCCAACTTACTTCATAGGGTAGTTGTTATGGAGAAAATAGGAGGAGTAAGATTTACTGGAAATGTTCACTGTCTTAAGTTAGTTGTAAAAATAATAAAGATAGGATATAAATAAGCAAATTAACTTCTAAATCACGAGA